GCTGTACTTCGAGACGAGAAAGCTATCCGCTAAGAAATGAAAAGCAATCTCCTCTTCTCCTCTCCTGCTCTGACCCTGATACTCATTTCGCTGGAAATGTGTAAGAAATCTGAATGAATTCTTATTCCTTCCAGGAAACCAGAAAAATCCCCAGACAGCGCGGAAGGTCACATTTCATCTGAGTTTCTTTTCACCGTTGACCCATGACGCACAAGATGGATCTCTCAGCAGCTACTTGTCCAACGATTCAAAGAGTAAGAGCGTCTACAATCAGAGAAAGGAAGACAAAATGGATGTAACTCCCTCTTCACAAATACCCTCTCTCAAACAAGAAGGATCTTTCAGCAGCGCCTTGTTCAACGATCCAAAGAGTGAGATCATCTGCAATCTGGCCAAGGAATCCGAGTATATCCAGGGCATGGTTAAAGGAACACTTGACCCCAATGTCTTTGGCAGCTACACGGTGCAGGATGCTGCCTATTGCTTCAATGCAGTGGATTCTTTCGACCGAGCTGCTGAGAAGATGCAAGAAGTTGGCAAACCTGAATTCTCTTTACTTTACAGGACCCAATCAGAGAGTTACAGAAGCTACAACCAGTATTTTGTTCAAACATGGCGGCTCCAGAATACAGACAGCGTGGCTATGGGGCCGGCAGCAGCAACGTATGTGGGATTTGAGCGTGCCTTGAGCCAAAACGATCCCAAGTACCTGTGTATTGCCATGTTACCATGTACCATGCTATGGCCCTGGATTGCCGACCAACTCATCGCTTCAGTCGACAAGAACAACCCATATTACGTCTGGTTTAAAGACAACAAGCCAAGCCCGGGCCACAAAAGCCACCTGGAGATGTTCGTAGATCATTTCTTTGTCCAAGTAGGGCCTGAGGAACGGCAGAAGTGCCTTTCCATTTTCCAAGAAGGTTTGGTTAACGAGGTGAATTTCTTCCGCAGTGCCTGCGATCAAACCCTGTTTTACTACTCGTCCTTCCAGGAGTAACTTGTAAAAAGATCTTAATTTTGTCGTTGGAATTAGTGAATCTGTGCTGCTTCAGATGATACCTCTGAAATTGAGCTAACTAGGAAAATTTGTCTAACCACAGAAATTACTCCTTTTTTATCGTATAGGAACATGTAGTTTGAAATTTGGACGGAGACGAAAGGGGGGGTTGGTACCTATACTCTTACACTAGAACCAGCTGGCCCTTTTTCACAGACAATAATTCCTGATTATTTAGCATGGGCTTAAACATGACTTCAAGGCCTTGTAAACATACCAATCCTTTCTGTTACTTGAGTTTTAGTTTTTTTTAAAACTCCCCAGATGGCTGTAGTAAGGGCCTGTCAACATCAAGATAACATCAACAA